ACAGGAAGCCGTGAAAGGGTTGCAACAAGGCTTCCACCAGTCGCTCCGTCAACATCAATCATCCGTGCTGCAAAAGCGGTTGCGACGGGAAGACCAGGCCAAAGAGACAGAAATTTTGGCCACTCTAGCAGGTTCAAAAGTACAAGATATGAGCCATATAGACAGGAGCAAACTCACAATGAATCTGAGGGGAGACGGTCGTACAATGAGAGATGGAGATCTTCGTCAATGCTGCTCCCTCCAAGAGATGCATTGATGCATGTGCCAAGGGTGACACCAACCGTGCCCATACACCAGGGTGAACAGCAAACACCGGAGGCAGCGCAGAGCTATACACATGTAAGTATCTATATAGAAAAAAACATACAAGCACACTCCATACCATGGTACTGTTACCAACCCATCTAACATTTTCATAACTACGTTTTTGTTTGCTCACTGTTGCATGCAGCCACCAAACATTGAAGCTTACGTTCTGCCAAGGCTAGAGATACGCTTTGAAATTTTCGAAGAAACAAAGAACTTCTACAACGTATATGCGAAGCATGCGGGTTTTGCTGTCAAGGAAGGCCCCAAGTTTAAGACCAGAGCCTACCTTTATTGCATGTGCTATGGAGTTTATGAATCCAAAGTGTCTGAAGCAAATAGACAACATAACAAGATGACAACCAGAACTAACTGCAGGGCTAAAATGAGGCTGAAGAAGGAAAAGGATGGAACATATGTCATAAAAGAGATAGTCTGGGAACACAACCACAGGCTACAGCTCACCACAGAAATGTTTGTCTTCTTGCACTCCCTCAAAAACTTTGACAAAACAATCTTGGAGTACATCAAGTACATGCAGTTCAAAGGCATTGAACACGCGCAAATCATTAGCATACTGGGCGGTGATGACCCTGGTAGCTACTTCCTTGAAATGAATGCCAAAAACCTGATTAACCTGTAAGTACAAGTTTGTTCTCCTCCCATAAACCGCTTCCGTCTTTTTTCGTCTGTCAGTACAAACATATTACGCAACGCATGACCTGACGCCAGTTCAACATGCATTTTTGAATGAACTTTTAATATGCAGGAAAGCAAAGAATTCAAGGATGGATGATGTGGACGATGTCCTAAAGACTGTCAACTTCTTTAGGGAGATGAAAGCTATAAACAGGGAATTCTTCTGTGACATGCAACTCGATGAGTCCGACAGAGTTAAGAACATATTCTGGGCGAACGCAAGCTGCCGAGGGGCGTATCAGGACTTTGGGGATTGTGTAACATTTGACACAACATATAAGACCAACAAGTACCATATGCCACTTGGGGTGTTTGTCGGAACTAACAACCACTTACAGACTACATTCTTTGGTTTCACCCTGATAAGAGATGAGGATGCAGATTCATTCAAGTGGTTGTTCAAGACATTTTTAAGGTGCATGAGAGGGAAGGCTCCTACATGCATCCTCACAGGTACAACCGCCAAAACCACCCCCAACCACTACCCCCATCCAAAAAAGGAAAATAACACAGTAAAAATGTTGTGTCAGTTCTATTGGTATATATGCACAACCATCTGGTGACCACTCTGAGCCTATTTTCTCATTACCAGACCAGTGCCCGGCAATGGCTTTGGCGATCCCAGATGTTTCCAAGAACACAGTACATAAGCTATGACGCTGGCACATTATGAAGAAGTACAGGGAACACCTCGCGTACCTGTACTACCTGCACGAAGACTTTAAGGATGAATTCACATTAATGCTCAACTGGCCCCTCATGTCAACTGAGTTTGAGGCTTCCTGGAAAAGACTCATGGATAAGTACAACCTCCACGATGACGCCACAATGGTGGGCATGTAGAACGAGCGTGAGAGATGGATATCAGCCTACTTCAAAGAAATTTTCTGCGCCAAAATGACATCCACACAGCAAAGTGAGAGCATGAACTATGTGCTCAAGAATAACTTCGTAAGTGAGAGACAAAACCTACACCGGTTTGTCAGCCAGGTAAACTCCTGCGTCAAAACAGGAGGCAGACAGAGAACCAGGAGAGAATGGATAACCAGGTATAGCTCTATCACTTATCATAAGACAAAAAATAACATGCTTACTAAAGTAAAACTTTATTAGAAGTTTTTGCTGCGAGAAAACTAACAATTTGGTCACCATTCTTGCATGTGCAGAAGGAACAAAACATGCTGACCTTCTATGAGTTTGACACCCAGATGGCAAAGCTGTACTCGCGAGCTGTGTACGGAGAGATCAGAAAAAGGCTAAAACCGAGCACACTCTTCACGGCGACAGAGACGGAAGAGCCCACAAAGTACCTCGTGTGATACAACCACCCGCAAAAACTGTCTGTGTCGGCTCAGCACGCGTTCCAGGTGGTTGCAGACCCCGTGGGAGAAACATATGCGTGCGAGTGCAGGCTATGGGACCACACAGGTGAGGACTACAAAAAATGTGTTACATACTGTACTACTTTTTTTGCAAAGTTTTTCTTCGAATGAAATGACAAAAAACATGTAGCTCTTCCAAAAGCAATACAGGTCTTTTCTGCATGCATGTCCTGAGCATGATGCAGACAATTAAGGCTGCCAGCATTCCAGAGAAATACATCCTCCGGAGATACACCAAACGCCCGAACATCCAGCCAACATTCAACAGAAATGATTTGAGGACAGTAGCATCAAACAAGGCATCCAAACTACATTGAAAGCTCACCGCTGACGCTGAAAATGAGGGTGCATAGAAAAAGCTTGAGAAGCCAAGAGCAAATGGCGAGGTCGCGGGTCGTCATGGACAAACTTGAACAAGAACTCGACGCCATGCATTCTGCTGAAAATGGAGGTGTCGCGAACAATGAAGCCACTGAGCAGGATATTGCTACAATGTTATCTGAGATGAACCATCTGGGAGCTATTGACCCATTCGACAACGAGGAAGAGGAGCAGCAGCAACCGGAGCTTGCCCATGTGCACACTCAAGTGCACCAACAAGCTCACATGCGAGATCATGAGCTTGATGGTGCTGTAGGCGAACGACATGACAATAGCACATCCTACTAGCAGCAGCAGGAAAGGGTGATTAAACCACCCATATTCTCAAACACAAAGGGGAGGAAGAGCAAGATGCAAACAGAGAAAGTTGCGAAAGCAGCAGCCAAAAAGCCACCACGCCCCATCAAGCGCGTGGAATTTGGGCCGGACGACAAACCTCTCGGGATAAGGGCATGCGGATTCTGCAACGTCGTGAGCAACCATAACTACCGCACATGCCCACTCCGCACAGATGCCACTGTCAACAAGAACAAGAAGATTGGAGCCACCCAGGTTTCTACCAATGGAGACAACACACGTAACATCTACACTTGCCACAAGTGTGGGAGAACTAACGGACATAATGCCCGCACGTGCAAAGTGGGCACGGAGGTCAGTGGGGCTGAACAGAAACAGGGCAAGGTACAGAGTTCCAAAAAATGAAATGAAGACTATGAAGAAGAAGAGTTTGATGAGAATGACGACCAATTAGACGAAGACAATGAAGATGACAGTGTCGGGGACGAGGAAACTGAAACTAACGATGAAGGTGCCAAGGCTCAACCAGGAAAGGGCGTCGGTAAGGCACAACATTCGGGGCCAGTTAGGAGAAGCTCAAGACTGAACAATACATAGTGGTTATCCTGCTGCGTCAACTAAATAATTAGCTTGTAGTCTCAGTTGTATCGACACACAATGAGGAAACATTTCAGAAACACTGTCGTTACCAAAACCTATTTAGCTTTATCGTTAATTTCTCGATCAGTACTATAGTTAAGATATAATTTATGATTTGAGCTTGCTGGAGTAGTGACATTATTATGTAAACCATTTGATAATCCTTTTGAATGCAGTCACAAATACATTTGAAAAAACTTATCTGGATATATCTGACGCAAATGCTACTGTCAACCAGTAACTCAGCAAAAATATGTCAAGGAAAATTTAAACTCTTGTAGTACATCAGTACTGATAATTCTCAGTTGTTAGTACAAGGCAGAGCACACATCAGTACTGATATAATTTCTGATTTGTGTCCGCTGGAGCAGTGACATTATTATGTAAACCATTTGATAATCCTTTTGAATGCAGTCACAAATAATTTGAAAAACCTTATCTGGATATATCTGACGCAAACGCTACTGTCGACCAGTAACTCAGCAAAAATATGTCAAGGAAAATTTAAACTCTTGTAGTACATCAGTACTGATAATTCTCAGTCGTCGGTACAAAGGCATAGTAAAACAAACACACCCGTGAACACCTCAAAAAAACATTGTTCGAAAAAACAAAGCTATGTCTGCTTCTGCCAGTCCCAATTCAGAAAGACCATCTGTACATAAAAATAATTACCTCAAGCAAAATCCGAATATAATACATCCTGTGCTGATGAAAATCTAATTTATCTGTCAAAATACTCAGAGATTATCTTGATATAAACAATCCTTTAAAAATACAAAAATTGTTTTAAAAAACATTAGCATCACACAAAGTCTCACTGGTATTTGCTAAGTTAAATTACACTTCAATCACCAGTCCAAGTACCACAGTAGAGGAGTTCAGGTCTCCATCATCACCGACCCTGACACGTGCAAGTGGGATAAGCAGCTGATAAGTACAGCTTGACTATATGAATCAGTGTGATAGTAAAATGCCATCATCACCACCCAGAGACATGCAAGTGGGATTTAGTAGGTCATAATTACAGCTTGACAAGACTAGTCAGTGCAGTAGTAAAAACCATTTAACTTGGACGGTTAGTTCTTCCACGCCTCCACCCGCGCTACCCACTGAGCGGTTGCCACAAGGTACTGCAAACGGTGACCCCATGCCATCCCTGTCCATGCACTGCAAAAAACCCCATTCTCTTCCATTTCTCCCTCGTTCCCACAAACCACCATTGCCGCTTCCATCTCCACTGTACACAAACCAAAAACTTCTCTCTCCCAAGCCCACAGTCGCCGTAGGAAGGCGATGGCGGAGGAACCGTCTGCCAAGCGTCATCATGCCGAGACGTCGGACAAGAGCAGCAACCTCGTCGACATTCACGTCCTTGGCGAGAAGCGCGAGTACACAACAACCCTCACAGGGGTTGAGCTCCACGGCAACGAGACGCTGGAGATCGTCTGGACCAGCGTACCAGAAAAGGCCGACGAGGTGATCTCCAGGCTCTGGAGGAAGCTTGGTGGAAAGAGTCCGAATTGTAGGATCGTCGACGTTGGTGTGCACTACACCAACGAAGATGAACCTCCCTAGATGGCAGCAGTCCTGTAGTTGAGCGTCAACAACCTCTGCTTGGTGTGGCACATCGAAGCAGCCACAAAATGGTGAGCCATCCTACTCATTTTCCCTGTATGGTTTATCTATTTTATTAGTACTAAACTCCTTATTTATGTAAAATCTGACAAGTTCAACTACTAAAACGCAAGAAGTTCAAATAGATTTTCTTTGTCTTTTCTGCTAAACTTCTTGTTTATGAAAAATCTGACGAGTTCAACTACACAAGTTCAACTACTAACGTAGTTTCTGAAGTTGATCCAATAGTGTAGTCTATGGACTCGATGTATTACAAAGATGTTTCTGAACTTGATGTAGTGAAGTATTTTCTGAATTTGATCTAATGTTATTTTCATAAGAAAATAAACTAAGGACTTGGTGAAGCACTGGTTATGTGTTATCCTATTCAACAAAAGTAAACTAAACTAGTACCGATGCAGAACATACAACATTGACTAAAACTATGTATAATCCAAAAAGAAGAATAACATGATGTACTTAATTTAATTTCAGAACTTTGTTTACTAGTTTTTGAAGTACATTCATCCATTATTTATCCTGTATTACACAACTACTTCATGGATTCATCGCTTGTAAAACAAAACAAAAATGAATAATTCAAACATCAAAGTAATGCTAATATTCAAAATATCTCTCCCCTTGCAGGCCCAAGCACCTGAACGACATGCTGCAGCATGAGAAGTTGTTCACATTTGCCGGTTTCAGCATCGAAAGCGACAAAGAGAAGCTGAAGTTGTCCGGTTTGGAGATCAACCCCAACAAGTTCATCGACATTCAGCGCAAGTAGAGAGTTCCATACACCGGAAAAGAGTATGACTCCTTGACTGATGTTGCAGCCAGCGTCATCCACCCATTCTACAAAGGCATGAAGAAGAACATCAACACGCATGAAGACTACAAACTATGGGGGACAAGCCCGCTGCCAGACAACCTCATCGAGTACACAGGAGTAGATGCGTATGCCACGTACAAGTCATGGTTCATAATCGACTACATCATAGATGGTTCAGAATTTGCAAAAGAGCGGGAGGCTGCGAAATTCTACGACCATCCCTATTGCCCCTATACGGGATGAAGATACATCAGAGCCTGCCTTCGTTTTACTTCTGCTTGTGCTTGCCTTTTATCTTGTTGTTTCAAATTAGCAGTTTGCTCCTGTTGGGTTGAACCAGTATGATTATGTCGTGCTTGACATGTTTGAACAAGTTTAGTTATGTCATCAAGTACAATGTTTTGCTTATCTCATTATATAAGTTTGGTATCTTGGTATGTTGTTAATCCATCATTTCAAATTCAAAAGTAGCTTCTGAATGGAACGTTGTGGCTGCTCTAAAGTACTAGTTATGATGCAACTAATCACACAACATTGTTCAATGTCTAGTTTCGATTCAATATTGTATAGAAAACATAACGTTGAGAACAATCAACACAATTTGAGTTGCTTAATAACGCTTCAAATGTTGAAGCGAAAAATCTTAGTACTTCATGTAGTGTTCTCATTCATATGTAGCTGCTAGAAAATTAACAAGTACTACAAACATAAAAAGTTAAGAAGCATCAGCACAAACTTATGTTGGTCGCTCGCAGATTAAGAATGATAGTAATAGTACACTTGATCGGACAGTACATGCTTACTACAATAAAAAGTACAAAGAAGCATCAGTCCGTAAGCGCTACTATGAATGCACTATCAGTACAACTCAGTCTACACACAAGTAACATAGTTCTGAAAATGACACCAGAAGACCCTTGAGAATAATCACAAAAACAAACACAAAAAAGAAGGCAAAAAACTCAAATGAAAAATATTACACTCACACAAAACTGACAAGAACTAGAACAAAAAGTATCAGTCCAAGTTACTGCTGGAGTCAAGTACTAGATTCAAACAAACAAAAACAAAAAAAACAAAAAAATGACTGCCCAAGGTCAGTCGCGGGCGCTGACAATGCTAGATACTTGAACCCGAGCCCGTGGGCGAATCCCTAGTAATCCGCACAATGTAGGACCCCCCGACCAGGGCCCACAGGTCAAGAGAGAGAGAGCGAGCACCGTGTATAAGCGCTCAGGTAAGTATTCAGAGGAGTTCGACTAGTGAGCCTCGGCTACGCTTATAAACAGGTTCGGAGCCCCCTCAACTAGCAAGGTGGGACTAAACCCAGAGCGCACGCGCACGATGCACTGCACAGCCGCGCGGACGAGCTATCTGGGCCGGAAAACGGCCCAATAGCCTGCATCGTCAACAAAACACCCCACCAATAAGCCCAGTTAAACAAAACAGAGGGCGGGACAAAGAAATATAAACTACAATAAAAATGTTTGTCAATTAACCTCTACAAGAAAAAAGGAGAAAATATGATACAAAAACAATGAACCTCTAAAAAGAAGAGAACTTAATAGCCTATCGACTAAATGTACATAATTTAAAAAACCGAATTAAATATTACTTTGAACTTCAACCACTAAAATGCAAAAATTTCAAACATATAATGCTTGTCAATTATGCTAAATTTCTTATTTATATAAAATCTGACAAGTTCAACTACTAAAATGCAAAAAGTTCAAACATATAATGTTTGTCAATTATGACAAGTTCAACTACTAAAATGCAAAAAGTTCAAATATATAATGTTTGACAAATATATTTGCAAAACCTTATCTGGATTTATGTAACACCAAATTACTGCCAGTCCTAGTTCAGAAAGTCCATCAGTACAGAATAATAATTACCTCAAGAAAATGCGAATATAATAGTACGCTTGATAAGTTCAACTACACTCTAATCACCAATCCAAGTAACGCAGTAGAGAAGTACAAAACTCCATCATCACCAACCCTGACACATGCAAGTGGGATAAAACAGCTGATAAGTACAGCTTGACAAGACGGTTCAGTGCGACAGTCAAAAATGTTCGAAAACTGAAAATATAAAAGTTCAACTACTAGTTCGTAGACAATAATTTTAAAATACGAAACATAAAAATAAAAATAATTTTAGCCCTGCACCACGGATGATAAAAAAATGAAACAATATGATACAAAAACTATGAAACTCTAAAAAGCAAAGAACTTAATAACCTATTTGTTAAATGTACATAATTTAAAACACCAAATTAAAATATTACTTTGAAGTTCAACTACTAAAATGCAAGAAGTTCAAATAGATTTTCTTTGTCATTTCTGCTCTGCTAAACTCCTTATTTATGTAAAATCTGAGATGTTCAATTACTAAAATGCAAGAAGTTCAAATAGATTTTCTTTGTCTTTTCTGCTAAACTTCTTATTTATGAAAAATCTGACAAGTTCAACTACTAAAATGCAACAAGTTCAAATAAATTTTCTTTGTCAATTATGCTAAATTTCTTGTTTATGTAAAATCTGTCAACACCTCAACGAACGATTTCGTCGTAAATAATCTCAACCCCCCACCCCTCAGTACAAACACACATTTGACATCAGTTCTAAAAAAGCAGGAACAATCAGGCCACTCACACCACTGTGACACAAAAATTCAAAACCGTACGCTGTATGAAATTAGAATTCAGTTTACACAACACTAAACCATAAGTGCACTAAAAAGAGAATACAAAAACTATAAAAGGCCTAACTTAGGTTCGGACAAAAGAAAATAAAATAAGTCCTAGTTTTGAGCAACAAGTCCCAGGGCACTGAAAACATGTTTTGAGATCAACTAGTGTATAAGACTTCAGTAGAAAAACAAGACATAACCTCCACACGGATAAACATAATAAAAAACCATACGTCACTTAAACAGTGCAAAATGCCATCATCACCACCCCTGAGACGAGCAAGTGGGATAACCAGCTGATAAGTACAACTTTACAAGATGGATCAGTGCAACAGTAGATACCCTTGACTTGGACGGTTTGTTCTTGCAGGCCACCACCCGCCCCACCCAGTGGGTGGTTGCCACAAGGGAGTGCAAACCACGACACCCATGCCCTGGAAATAACCATTGTCTTCCATCTCTACCTTATTCCAAGAACCAGCATCGCCGCTTCCATCTCCACCGCAGACAAAACCACAAACTTCTCTCTCCAAAGCCCATAGTCACCGGAAGAGGGCGATGGCAGAGGAATCGTCCGCCAAGCACTATCATGGCGAGACGACCGACAAGAGAAGCAACCTCGTCGACGTTCATGTTGCCGGCGAGAAGCGCGAGTACACCAAAACGCTCAAAGGGGTTGAGCTCGACGGCAAGGAGACGCTGGAGATCATTTGCACCAGCGTACCAGACAAGGCCGACGAGGTGATGAGCAGGCTCAGGATGAAGGGCGACGGCTTGTATCCTTTCTTCATCGGAGTTGATGTGGAGTACACCAACGACAAAGAACCTCCGCAGATGGCGGCAGTACTGCAGTTATGCGTCGAGGAACTCTGCTTGGTATACCACATCGCAACAGCCAAAAAATGGTAACCCATACTACTGTTCATTCATCTGTTGTACTAGTACTACTCACTAAACACTTAACTAAAATTGTTTCCCAACTAGACGAACTACTATAGTTTGTGAAGTGGATGCACGAGTACATGTTTCTCAAGTTACATGCATTTCTGAAACTGTGAAGTGGATTGTTTCACCATATTAGCATCTGAAAAAATGTTTATAGAATTCTGAACTTGATGCACCAAATTAATTTCTGAACTTGATGTACTAGCATAGATTCTGATCTTGATGCACTAGTATAGTGAATTGATGTATTAAAAGATCTTTGGTGAAGTGGTATAGGTCCATATCTTGATGCACATGTTTCTCAAATTAATTTCTGAACTTGATATAAAATTAATGCACAAAGATGTATCAAGCACTGGTACAAGTCTTTTATTCAACAAAAAAGAAAACTAAACTTGAATCAAGCAGCAAATATATCATTGACTAGGGTAAAATGATTCTTGAATTTGGTGAAGCATTTGGTGAAGCAATGAAAATAGCAAAA